ATGCGAAAAATAGGCAACGCATAACAATACGTGATGAATAGAGTCACGCGGACCAATCAAGTGCCGAGAATCGCACAGACATATCAACTTGCCTGTAAACCATACACTACGTTGTACGTTGTACGAACTCCGTTCCTGGTATATTTGATTGTTATTTACACAACGAAGTTTACGTTTAGCCTTTTTTTTGTAAATATAAGTAGGAAAAAAATTATAAATAATACTAATGAGAAAGAAGAAAAAAAAAAAAAAAAAATTTATATTGCATACGTCAGTAAAGATCAGAGGTTGGAAATTTATGTAACTACGCCCTCGATTATTGGTGACTGATGTTTTTCTCTACGTTGTACAAACTCCGTTACTGGTAAAGTCGTATCAATTGCAAACCGCGATAATAAGTATGATATTAATCTTGAAAAAAACAAAGATATTATTTCGAAATAAGAGAGGAAGAAAAATATAAGCAGAATAAATTTGATAGGCTGGCAAATTCTCAAATATCTACCGTTACGTATTATTAAAAAATTATCTATACTATAATCTATGATCAATCCAATTTGTCTAATATTACTAGAACTACCACTCAAAATAAGCGTTAATTGAAGCTTTTTAAGAATTATGTCTAATGGTAAATATCTTTGAGGTTTACTCACAATATGTATGCCATTTAGACTCACATGTCGCAAAGCTTGTTTATAAGAAAACATAGCCCTATTGTACCTGAGCCAGATATCGCGATTGAAAAGGTCAATGGAGACTTGAATTCATTTTTCACATTTGTATAAAACCCAAGTTCATGTCCACAAGTAACATGTGTAATGTATATCCAAACTTACATATATGAGCACCATGGCTGGATACAGCCACGTCATCATAAATTATTAACCCTTTATTTAGTCCGAGATCAGTATTTTTTATAGCTACTTTTGTATTAATAGGCTTGATAATTTTATCATTATCTGTAATGATTAAACCGACGTCAAGCAGGGAACTACTTCAAAATTCCATAAACCCAATTAAAGAACTAAAGTTATTTTTATTCCATGAAACATAGTGAATTGAGGTATTAGTGCGATTAGAGCAATGCCCTGCAGTTACAAAATAATAGGATTTTAAGTCTTTCTATTTTTCCCAAAAACTTAATGAACATTTCTTCCAGAATTCGAGCGTTTCGTAACCTAAAACGTAGGTAACATACTATTACTCACGTTCCATAATTTCGCTAATTGTTCTTCATAAGCATTAACTGTCGGATTATCTTGTAAAGCAAGAAATAATTAATGACAAATTAACTAAAAAGTTAACTTTCATTGTTGTAATAGTAATATAATATATGATAGTAGTGGTAAAATAAGGAAAAAAAAATAGATCGTGTCATTAGATAAAGTGTATATTCCAATATTAGATATATATATATTTATTAGCATTGAATAAGTTCAATATCTGTAATTTGCAATTCAACAAATTGCAAATCGTAATTTTGTCAAATCAATATTAAAATAGTTGTTATCAGAGTTAGCGTAAGTAGTGATGGATTCAGTGTTGGTCACAAGGCTGGACCATCCAGTCCAGTGGAACTATATGAATTGGAACTGAATCAAATAGTATAATTAAATTTTGTTTTGATTGGTTAATCAAAAAAAAATTTTTTTTGATTGACTTGGAGAAACTAATTAAATATGATTAATTAAGGTCATATTAAGATGCAGGCCAAATATCTCATTAAAAATTTCGCGCGTTGCCCATCACTACCTATACTAAAGATCATCCAAAATTTATTATACGGAGCATAGAAATTTGAATATGAGACAACATTAAGTTGTACATTATCATCCACAGAACAATATACTGAAAAGCACATAAACGGTGCATATTTACATGCTTTTAAATATTCATTTGTGCGTAGTAATATATCTTTTATAATATACTTGCAATAAGTGCTTAAAATTTTTCAGATAGCTAATTTCCGTGCAGTTGCCTAATTCCGTAGTGGTAAGTGCATTTTCATGTACTGAATATTTTTATAGGGAATATTAAGAACTATTGCTAGACACTTAATTATTCTATACTGACAATAGATATTATAACCATTAATTTAGTGTGCTTATTAAGCTGTGTTTGTAATGTAATTGAATAGGATTAATTATTGATGCTTTGATACTGTAAATTAAAAAATATTATATACATATCATCTGATTATATCGACACTAACCAGAATCATGTTCATCTTAAGTATATAGGCACAAAAATTTAAAACATATCGTCATAGCCAAATAAGTATTCGGAAAATGTGTACAAGGTTTGTGACGTAGGTCTCTTGAACTACGAATCAGATTTCAAGATTAGGTAAAAAGTAACGCGATCATGAAGATTCATAACAAACGTTTGTTCTGCCAAAAATCGCTCATAACTAAAAAAAACCAGCATAAGAAACCTTTTCGTTGGACAACTTTTACTATATAAACTATTCTCAACTAACTCCTAACCCTAATATTTTCCGAGTATAAAGAGGCAAATAGTTAGCGTTATTTGTTATTGTCGACACAGCAAGCATGTGACTATTTGCACAGCAAAATGGCCAGCATTAAATTAATCGACATAGCATAGCCGGCGTTATAGTTAATCGGTATATTGCATATTGGTCTTGTTAATTTGTTTCTGGTAGTATTTAGATATAGATTTTATACTTTCGTGAAAACAAAAATATTTTCTGGGTTATAAACAAATTATTATTTTTTTTTTGAGAACAAAATTTTAAATTTAGTTAGTTTAATAGTTATAATTATTATAAGATTCATTGTTTTTGATAAAACCAAATGTTCTTTATTATGTCCTTTATTATATAAAAAACCTTTAAATAAGAATCTTAATAGACAAAAAAAAAAAAAAGAATATTCTATAAAGCATATTAAAAAAGAAATTTCCAAAAGATCATAAAAGCATTAAAAATTTTCAAACAAAAAGGATTTAATGAATGAATATTTAAATATTATTGATACTATATAATAATTACAGTAAAAGAGCCATTATAACAAGAGAAGTGTACTTAATTATGATTATACTAAACTAAGATTGAGTAAATTTTGCAAATTTACAGATTGACATGTCAAGTTTAAAATAATCTATTAGATTCGCAACTCGAACCGTTATATAATATTGTTGAGGTAATATTGGTGTATGTGAACATAATGATTTAGTAGCTTTAGTTTGAGGAAAAGTAAAATAACCAGGTGCTCTAGTGAGCTCACTAAAATTATAGTCATAAAAACTAATCAGAACAATTCCTGCACTAACGGTGTTAGATGGTATAGTTGCAGAAATATTAAAGGTAATGTCTACAGTTAAATTACTGTTAAATTGTGGGCAATTATCGCCCTGTTTGACGTCGGGATCAAATTTTCAACTTTTCTCATGGCTTAGGCAGGTTTGAATATAGGATCCCGATATCTCGCGGTGTGATAATTAAGTTTCGGATTATGACCCACAACCGTCAAATGTTAAAATTATACGTAGACATTAGCTGAAAATAGAAACAGGCGAATTGGATAAATATAAAAATTAGTGCGAAAAGATCTCACACAAATCTGGTCTAGTACGTAACACTAATAAATTTTCACTAATTTGAAACACATGCTATTTTTAAAAGGGAAATTATAGCCAATTCTGGCCAGAGATGTCATAGGAGGACATTTGTCTGATTGGCGATGTAAATCAATTGCCCGGGTAACTTATTTATACACTTTAGAGTACTTTTTGAAACACTAATAAGAAATCACCGCAAAAAACCATTTTTTCGCTTCGATGGAACGTCTATATTTACTATTCAGTAATACTCAGATCCGGGCTTAAGATTAAATTTGGTCGGTTATTGTAGTGTGATTAGGTTTGACAACCGTAAATTAATGACCAAGGTTTTGGGTTATATTTTATCGATTCTTTAATGTATTAATTAAAAGTTATTGATGAATTATCACGGGAAATCAGGGGTAGATCTATAAAAATCAACCAATCATAAGAATGTCTTCCGATGCCATGCTTATTCATCTAATGGTTTAAAATGATGTTTGGCTAAACGATTTCCATTGGGTTAGGTTGGGTGTATAAGTAAAATTTCCTTTATACCATTTATTTATTAGTGCCCAGACATAGGTTTATATTGTATTTTGTTGTCAGGATGATCGTTAGCGTGTTACACAAAACGTAAATCATGTACACTCTATAATCACACCCTTGGTTTTAATAATTTAGTGCTTATAGAGAGTTTGTGCCTATATAGAAGTTAAATTTTATAAGTGTTATATGAGGTAGTTTTAAAATTTTAGGTGATTATAAAAAAATGTAACTATAGAGGAGGTGACTACTGTATAGAGACGTTTGACTGTATTTTTTTAATAGAGTTCTTTGGCAATTTTAGTGATTAACTAATCGTCAAAATCTAACTTTTTTTCGTTTAAAAAAAAAACAAGCCACATAAAGCAATAATCATTAGTTACATATTTTTCAACTTTATTTCATATAAAATTACGAGGAATTTCATGTGTATACCTTCTTTTATAAAAGAAAGGACTAAATCCTTGCTCACGCGACTAATACTGTATAAAATAGGATTAGATCATAACCGATTTTTATTTGCTAGAGCGCAAAGGTAACTTAATAGACAAAAAATTTGAGCTACCAAAAATATTGATTCAAAAATAGTGATTAACCAGTCTGAAGATCTTATTAGATAGAGTGAAAAAAAATAACCAGTAAATCCTGATAAATTTAGAAACTTTATAATATTAGAAGTGTAATATTTATAAATAAGTGAAGCGGGGCGTTGTCAATCAAAACATACGTGAGTGCGTACCATAATTATCATAGTGAATAAAACGATTATTACACGAAATAATAAATTATCTTTGCTCTTTGCGTAACGATTTATTTTAAAAATAGTTGACCTTACTATGGTACATACGTATGTACGTACGTTTTGATTGACAACGCCTCAGGCATTGCTAACAGACATTGTAAGGTAGTTAGTACCGTACGATTGTACAAATATATACGACATACGAAAATTGATATTACGTACGGTTAACATAGGTTTGTAAAATTAATTTTTACAAGTCCATTATCCATTTGGCACAAGGATGTGACGAATAATTGGGTGTGGCTAATAAGCATTAGTTGATATTATTATTTAGCTCGTTACACCGATGAATCTTTCCAAATGAAAGGGAAGACCTAATTATTACAACTAAACCCTTTTTTTATGTTTATGTTTAGGGCAAGTGTGAGAATCGTTCTTTTTTTCTTGTGAGGTTATAGGAAAAATAGCTTTGTTTCAAAAACAGTACGTACTACGTATCATGATTTCCACATGTCCGTCCTAATTTGTGCTTCCGTAACGTACCCGACATTATATGAAATAATATGTAATTAGTAGATCATCATGGTCTAATTATCGGATTATTAAAATTAATTTGCATGAGTTAAACTGCATATGGTTTAGATTTTATACTATGAAATATAATTAGAATCTTTTCCTTTGAAAATAATCATTTGCCATTTTTCAATCAGGATAATTTGGACAAAACAAACCCAATACCAGTTCATATTTATATGTAAATCATCCTTTTTCTTTTACGGATGCAATAGTCTATTTAATAAATTATTGAATATTTTGGTTTATTTGTTCGAATTATTCCGATCGGAGATGTCGGATGGTAATTTCCAAGGCGAAGACCCGATTTTGAATGAATTATTTATGGATGATAATCTTATTAATAAAATTAATTAACAATCAATCAACTAAGAATAGCAATGTCTATAATTTTTTTTCATATAAGACTTCAAATAATAGTATATATGAAATTTTTTATAAAAAGGCAATACTCTGAGGTCGATTTTTTAATAATCAAGCAAGAAACTACCAAGTATCATATTTACAAAGAAACAATGAATCAAAAAATTATTTTTGTGTTTATTTTATCGGTTGCATTTTACATTGTCAATGCTATTCCATTACAGAAAAGAGCTCCTCCATTTCAAAATTGTCCACATTTTAACAGTGATTTAACTGTTTCCTTTTCACCAGATCCTATCGCTTCTAACCAAGACGTTATATTTGAAATTGCTGCTACTATACCATCTGACATCGATAATAAAGGAGTTATTCTGACTAGTTTTTATAAATATAATGCTAAGGATCCCATTGAAGACCCCAACGAAAAGTATTTTCCCGCAACTTCAGCTAATCAATCCATTTTTCAAGTGGTGCCATTAACTGCACCAGAATTACCTCAACAATATTATATACAGGTTCAAATCGCGAATGTAATTGATGATTCTAACTTTAACATTTTAATATGTAAATTTGCAAATGTTACTCAATAATCTTAGTTCAGTATAATAATAATTAGTACACTTTTCTTGTTACAATGGTGCTTTCTTATTGTAATTATTATGTAATATCAATAATATTTGAATATTCTTTCATTAAATCCTTTTTATTTGAAAACTTCTAATTATTTTTTGATCTTTAGAAATTTCTTTTTTAATGTGCTTTATATTATATTCTTTTTTTTGTCTTTTAAAATCTTATATAAAATTTTTTAATATAATAAAGAACATAATAAAGAATTTTGGGCTTTATCAAAAACAATAAATATTATAAAAATTCTAACTAACTAAACTAACTGAAATTATAAAATTTTTATCTCAAAATAATTTGTTATAACCCAGAATATATTTTGTTATTCACGGA